GAGATTTTCTTCCGACAGCAGTGATATTCTCATTGCAAGATCACGTCTCTGTAAGACTTTTCATACAGTGTCAGAAACCACATAACAAGTCTACTAGAGATTACTTAACAACTCCACACGGTTGGAGGTGAGAATCTAATGATTTAGGCATGCAGTTATCACCATGCTAATTGGTGGGAGACATTTAGCACCATGTTAATTGGTAGGGAAACAGTTAGCACTTAGCTAATTGGTGGGAATAGAGTTAGCACCATGCAAATTGGTACATAAACAGTTAGCAACATGCTAATTGGTGGGTATACATTTGGCACCATGCTACTTGTTAGGGAAACAGTTAGCACCGTGCTACTTGGTAAGGAAACAGTTAGCACCATGCTACTTGGTAGGGAAACAGTTAGCACTCTGCTTATTGGTGGGGCACAGTTAGCACCATGTGAATTAGTAGGGATACTGTTAGCATCTTGCTAAATGGTAGGGAAACAGATAGCACCATGCAAATTGGTAGATAAACAGTTAGCACCATGCTAATTGGTGGGCATACATTTAGCACCATGCCATGTGGTAGGGGAACAGTTAGCACCATGCTAATTGGTGGGTAAACATTGAGCACCATGCCATGTGGTAGGGGAACAGTTAGCACCATGCTACTTGGTAGGAAAACAGCACCATGCTAATTGGTGGGGAATGAGCTTCCATTACCTGTTAGCCTAATAGCTCCAGTGCAAAAGTAAAGAAGTAAGCTTCAGACAGGTGAGGTAAAGAGGGAAACTGTTCATTTGCTTTTTCACTGTTGCTTGAAGCCTCTAAATGAACAGCTGCCTCGAGAGCCATAAATAAGTCAGAGTGGGCTGCTAATGAGGAGGATGCGATTGATGATTCTTTACCTTCGCTGATGGATGAGGTGAGCGGTGTCGGCCTCGTCTCTGTTCTTTAGAGCCTCCCCAGGCTACGGGCCGGCCGGTGTGTTTTTGCTGACCCGATATGTCAATAAGTCATTTATAAAGCAACAGGAGGCTGGAATATTAACACGCGTGCCAAATGAGATTCCGTAGACTTCAACCATCTCCAGTGTTCAGCGCTATGTAAGCACATACAGTGAATGTAGGATCCTTCCCACATCTGTCTTCTGTGAACTTTTGCATTTAACGTCTACATTTTACCCTGTAAATTTCAGGCTTATTATTCCGCTATTAATCTGAAGATGTGCTATTTAGTAAAATATACAGCAACTACTATACATTATTCAGTACCTAATAAAAATGATTGAGTAATTTCTTTAAATTATTCAGTACCTACTATAATGTATAAAGAAACTGCTATAAATGATTCAGTAACTATTATGAATTATTTAGCAACCACTATGAATTTTTCAGTAATCACTTTGTATTACTTAGTGTCTAGTATAAATTATTCAGTAACTACTATGAATTATTCAGTAACTATTGTGAATTATTCAGTAACTGTTATGGTTCATTCAGTGAGCACTATAGATTGTACAGTATCTATGCTATACCAATTGCTAACTGTTATGAATCATTCATTACTACTTTAAAATATTCAGAAACAATGATCAGTTATTCAGTATCCATTATGAGCCATACCTGAACTACTACAAAGGATTGTGAATTATTATTATTGTGAATTACTCAGAAACTATAACAAATTATTCAGTAATTACTATAAATGATTCCGTATCTACCTAGAATGATTCAGTAACTACTATGGGTGATTCAGGATCTACTATGAATTATTCAGTATCTGCTATGAAATATTCAGTAACTACTATGGGTGATTCAGTATCTACTATGAATTTGTCAGTAACTATTATGAATGATTCAGTATCTACTATAAATTTTGCCAGTATCTACTAAGAATTTGTCAGTAATTACTATGAATGATTCAGTTTCTACTACGATTTATTCAGTAACTACTATGAATGATTCAGTTTCTACTACGATTTATTCAGTAACTACTATGAATTATTCAGTAACTACTATGAATTTTTCAGTATCCACTATAAATGATTCAGTGTCTACTATAAATGATTCAGTATCTACAATGAATTATTCAGAAACTACTATGAATGATTTAGTATCTACTATGAATTGTTCAGAAACTACTATGAATTTTTCAGTATCTAATATTAATTTTTCAGTATCTACTATAAATGATTCAGCGTCTACTATAAATGATTCAGTATCTACTATGAATTATTCAGAAACTACTATGAATGATTTAGTATCTACTATGAATTGTTCAGAAACTACTATAAATAATTCAGTATCTACCTAGAATGATTCAGTAACTACTATGGGTGATTCAGTTTCTACAATGATTTATTCAGTAACTACTATGAATTATTCAGTAACTACTATGAATTTTTCAGAAACTACTCTGAATGATTCAGTATCTACTATGAATTATGCAGAATCTATTATGAATTATTCAATAACTAATATAAATTATTTACTACGTGCTATAAAGTATTCTGTAATTACATTAAATTATTCAGAATCTACCATAAAAGATTCAATAACTACTATAGATTATTGTACAATGAATTCAGGTATTATTGTAAATTATTCAGTAACTACTACATTATTAATTATGCAGTATGGATTATTCGGTAACTTGACTAGGCCTGGTTCACTGCTATTAGGCTGTAGCTAAAGAGACAATAACACAAGACAAAATCTGACCGTGTCCCTCAAAGCAACAGCAGGACTGAAGATGCTACACAGGAAGGGAGCTAATGTCCACCTATTAGCATCATTTAGGGCTAATTTGTTGTTTTTCACTTTTATTTCAACTTTTTGATTTAACTATTCCTTAAATCATTAGATGAACATCAGCTGTCTTTGAAATTATAACCGTCTTGAATTATAAACAATCAATAATTCAATAACTGAAAATCTTCACAGGCAGCTGATGTTTTCAATACGCTATGATGTCAAGCTTGTAACAAAGCAGAACCTTTTTGGTGCTATACACTCTTAAATAAGGTGGCTTTTAAGGGTTCTTTGGTAAAGAAAATGGTTCTATATAGAACCATGAATACTCAAAGAACCCTCTGCGTGATTAAAGGGTTCTTTACATGGTGAATGGGTTCTACAGACTGATTGAGAAAGTGCTGTAGATGGTTCTATATAGAACCTTTGTGAAAGAGCTTCCCTATAGCACCAAAAAGGGTTGTGCTATTGCTGAAATGTCAAGCTTCTTACAGTGGAAGAACCCCTTTTGGTGCTATATAGAACCATTATCAAAAAGGTTCTATATAGAACCATATACAACACATGATCCATCAATCTGAAGAACGATTTCACCATACAAAGAACTATTTAGTCATGCAAAGTGTTCTTTAAGTGATCATGGTTCTATACAGAATCTTTTTTTTTGTACTAAATAACCCTTGAAGAACCATCATTTTTAAGAGTGTATAGAACCATAAAGAAAAACATTCTCCATCAATCTGAAGAACCATTTTAACATGAAATGGTTCTAAAGGGAACTCATGTTTCTGAATAAAACCAGTCATTACTAAAGAACCCTTGATGAACCATCTTCTATGTGTGCACTAAAACAGTGATACCTGTGGCTGTGAGTTTGTCAGCGCGCCTTTAATGACAGTTTGATCCCATATTCATCTTTTAGACTCTGGGAGCGCGAGGACGCTGTCTGTGACGTCAACCGCTGGCAATCACAGCGCTTTCCTTCTCACAGCATTACGCGCGCACTGTTTTGTCGTGTCTAAACGTGAAGCTGCATTCTCCAGGCTGTTCACCCCTTCTTTAATTTCAAGGTAGGGTATTCCAGCAGGGATCTGACTGTGCGCGCGCGTGCAGAGAAGAGAGTGCGCGCGCGTTTCCCAGCGACTCTCTCTCTATCACCTTGCTCACTCCTCTCTCTCTCTCTCTCTCTCTCTTTCTTCTTTCTCTCTCTCTCTCTCTCTCTCTCTCTCACCTTACTCTCTCTCTCTCTCTCTCTCTCTCTCTATCTCTCTCTCGCTCTCTTTCTTCTTTCTCTCTCTCTCTCTCTCTCTCTCTCTATCATCTTGCTCACTCCTCTCTCTCTCTCTCTCTCTCTCTCTCTCTCTCTTTCTTCTTTCTCTCTCTCTCTCTCTCTCTCTCTCTCACCTTACTCACTCTCTGTCTCTCTCTATCTCTCTCTCGCTCTCTTTCTTCTTTCTCTCTCTCTCTCTCTCTCTATCATCTTGCTCACTCCTCTCTCTCTCTCTCTCTCTCTCTCTTCTTTCTCTCTCTCTCTCTCTCTCTCTCTCACCTTACTCACTCCTCCCCCACCTCTCTCTCTCTCTCTCTCTCTCTCTCTCTCTCTCTTTCTTTCTTCTCTTTCTTTCTTTATCTCTCTCATCTTGTTCACTCATCTCTCTCTCTCTCGCTCTCTCTCTCTCTCTCTCTCTCTCTCTCTCTTTCTTTCTTCTGTTTCTTTCTTTATTTCTCTCTCTCATCTTGTTCACTCATCTCTCTCTCTCTCTCTCTCTCTCTCTCTCTCTCTTTCTTTCTTCTCTTTCTTTCTTTATTTCTCTCTCTCATCTTGTTCACTCATCTCTCTCTCTCTCTCTCTCTCTCTCTCTCTTTCTTTCTTCTCTTTCTTTCTTTATCTCTCTCTCATCTTGTTCACTCATCTCTCTCTCTCTCTCTCTCTCTCTCTCTCTTCTTTCTCTCTCTCTCCCTATCTCTCTCTTCTTTGTTTCTCTCTCTCTCTCTCTCTCTCTCTCTCTCTCTCTCTCTCTCTCTCTCTCTCTCTCTCCCTATCTCTCTTCTTTCTCTCTCTCTCTCTCTCTCTCTCTCTCTCTCTCTCTCTCTCTCTCTCTCTTACTTCTCTATTTCTTTCTTTATCTCTCTCTCTCATCTTGTTCACTCCTCTCTCTCTCTCTCACCTTGTTCACTTCTCTCTCTCTCTCTCTCTCTCTCTCTCTCTCTCTCTCTCTCTCTCTCTCTCTCTCTCAGTGTAAAAGCCTCCGGGTCCTCGCGAGTGCATCACACAGGCACCGCGAGCCCGAGCAGATAGGAGCGCGCCCGCACTTCTCATCACAGCCGGATAAATCCAAGTGCGTGCATGGCACTGAGCCGCACGTGCATGCATTGAGCTAGGGTAAAAGGGTGGAAGCGCGCGCACAGGGCTGGGTTTGTCACCCGGAGCACTTCAAACGAGTTTGGAAGGTTTTGCATTTGCGGCTTTTGGGGACGCGCGCGCGCGCTGTTGGTGAAACTCGAGGCTGAAGCAGTGTGTTTTCAGGGTGAGCTGACTGACTCTCGCGAGGAGGCAGGACGTGGAGAAAAGAGCGAGCTGGAGCGCGCGGACGGCTATGAGGATTAACAGAGAGAGCAGCAGCGGGATGAAGGTAATGGAGAGGAGGACGCGCGCGGGCGCTGCGGTGGGCTGCTGAAGCTGAATCATCCCAGATTAAGCAGGGAAAGCGGGTTTAGTCTGGATTATAACGCGGCTTCATCAGAACTCGGCCATGGTCCCCAAGTCCAGAACACAGCTGGCTTTCTTCTTCATCCTGCTCTGCCCGGTCAACATCATCGGACTGTGGTGGTGAGTATGAGACGCTGGACGTGTCCACTGAGAGCTCACTGCATGTGCATTTGATAGACCCAACCAGGAATTATGAATGTTTGATCTCCTGAGTGGGAGACGCTGCTCATGCACTATAATCTGAGAGAACGTCTGAGTCTGCGTGATGTGTGAGTGTGTGAAGCGCGTGTAAGTTTATCGGTCTGCCCCGATAGCGCTGCTAGTGTAGACATGAACGGAGAGGAAAATATGACAAATCACCGTTCAGATCAGGTTGGCGTTGGCATGTGATGATGCACACACTAAAACCTGTTTCACTATTAGCGACGAAGTGGCTGATTATCCTCACACCAACTTTAACATCTGTCCAAACCTTTTCTGGTGGCGGGACGGCACTGCAGATGTGTGCCTGAGCTGAGCTGTGTGTGTTTAAGGGCTGAACAATATGAGAGTGATCAGTTTATCAATAATCGATAGCATTTGGTTGTCCTCTTAAACCCTGTAAAGGTTCATCATCCATAACAGTTACTGAATAATTCAGACCAGCTTCTCACTTATTCATACTAGATAATGAATAATTTACAATAGTTATTGAAAAATTCATAATAGATACCATACAATTCATAGTGGTTATTGATTGATCCAAAATAGTTGCTAAGTGATTCATACTGGTTACTGAATAATTCATAGTAGATACTGTACAGTTCATATTGTTTACTGAAGGATCCATAATATTTACTGAATTGTTCACTATTGTTTTTGAATAATTCATATTAGATACTGAAGAAAATCATAATAGTTACTGCACAATTCATAGTGGTTACTCAGTGATCCATAATAGTTACTGAATAATTCATACTGGTTACTGAATGATTTGTAATAGTTATTGAAAAATTCATAGTAGATACGGAATAAGTCATAGCAGTTACAGTACAATTCATATTGTTTATTCAATGCTCCACAACAGTTACTGACTGATTCATACTGGTTACTGAAGAATTCCCAATAGTTATTGAAATTTTTTTTGCAAATACCGTACAATTAATATTGTTTACTGAATGATCTGTAATAATTACTGAATAATTCATACTGCTTACTGAATGATTCGTAGTAGTTACAGTATAACTCACAATCGTATTTAAACAATTCAAAGTGGATACTGAAAAAAATCATAGTAGTTACCATACAATTCATAGTGGTTACTAAATGATTCAAAAGAGTTACTTAGTAATTCGTACTGATTACTGAATAATCCACAGTAGATACAGAAAGAAATCATAATAGTTACCATACAATTCATAGTGGTTACTGAATGATCCATAATAGTTACTGAATCATTCATACTGCTTGCCGACTGATTCATAGTAGTTACTGTATAATTCATAGTCGTTTTTGAATAATTCATAGTGGATGATGAAAAATTCATAATAGTTACCGTGCAATTCATAGTGGTTATCGATCGATTCATGTAGATCCTGTACAATTTGTAGCGGTCACTGGATGATCCGTAATAGTTACTGAATAATTTACAATAGTGATTGAAAGATTCATAGTAGATACCATACAATTCATAGTGGTTATTGTATGATCCATAATAGTTATTGAAAAGTTCATACTGGTTACCAAATGATTCAAATAGTTACTCAATAATTCATAGTAGTTACTGTAAAATTCAGAGTAATTACTGAATGATTTATAAAAATCACTGAATAATTCATAGTAGTTGCCAAATTAGACCTTGTATGATAATAAATTTAATAATAATATTACGGTTTAACCCCTTAACAATCCAGGTTTATTTCACACAAAAGCTTAAATTTTCAGTAACTACAGGGACTTCAATGCAAACTAATGGAGCTATTCTTAGCTTATATTAGTGTGTAATAAACCTTTGGGTGGCTTGTTAAGAGGTTAATGGATTAATGGATTCATATTATCCTTATAAGCAACATTGTTTTCCAGATGAATTCCCTACAAGGTAAAGCTCTTCTTAGGAATTTTGGAATTCGGCTGATTGAATAACCTGAATTCTCTTTTAGCTGGAGGTGCAGGAGTTAATTGGCAGGTAGAAACATTAGGGGGGTCACCGTTGGAATTTGCGGTAGACCTGCAGGCAATGGGTGTCATCATAAACCTGTTGGCCGCGCCGCAGTCCCGGAGCTACGAGCTAACACTGAGGAGCGTGTTTGATAAACAGAGGCAGAGCAGTTAAAGCAACACGTTCCTTTAAACGAGGGCGTCGTTAAACCTCTCTTTACTTCACATTTACACCTCATTAGTTCCTAAACAAAGGTCAGACCTGCTGCTGTGTTTAGGAGCTGCACTCGCTGGCATGTGTGAGTGTGAGAGAGAGTGTGTTCATTCGCTTTTTTGGGTATCTACAATACCCAGCACAGAGTGTGTGGTACAAAGTAGGAGAAAAGAATGAGAAATTAACAAAGCCGGTAGTTTGAAATAACTTTTTTGATTCATACCAGCCAAAAATACACGTCTTTAAAGTTCTACTCATTGTTTACAAACACATGCAGGCTTTTAGGTAAAACTTCCTCAGCTTTCAATAGCACTGTGGTGGAGTGCAGAGCGAGGGTGGTGCTAAAGAAAGGAACAAAACTACACGTAACCGCTGGAGACGTCACAATACCAGAATTTTGGTAGTTAGTGATGATACTGGTGAAATTACACGATTATCGATCTATGATTTGATATGACAGCAGAAACAGACAATCCTTGTGAGAGGATTCACAATTAAAACAAATAGCATTTAACACTGTATCTAACTAAATTGAGCAGCAGCTGTCATTATTCATATATTCAAATGCAAAAAAAAACAAAATAAAATTCCAAAAATTACCAGTATTGTAGCAAAAATTCACTGGGTGCCGGGGGGGGGCCACACTTAAAAAAGATGGTTCTTCAAGGGTTCTTTTGTAAAGAACACTAACAACCCTTTGCATGATTAAAGCGTTCTTTGCATCATGAAAGTTTCTTCAGGTTGATGGAGAACGTGCTGTAGATGGTTCTATATAGAACCTTTTTGAAAAGGGTTCTATATAGCACTCAAAATGGTTCTTCTATTGTTATGTGATTGACATCATAACAATAAAAGAACCCTTTTTGGTGCTGCATAGAACCCTTTTCAAAAAGGTTGTGTATGGAACCATGTATAAAAGATTCTCCATCAATCTGAAGAACACTTTCACATATTAGGGTGAAAGGTTTGTCTCATTACAATGCAAAGAACCCTTTAATCATGCAAAGGGTTCTTTGAGTGTTCTTGGTTCTGTATAGAACAATTTTCTTTACTAAAGAGTTCTTGAAGAAGCATCTTTTTTAAAGAGTGTACCAAAAACAGGTTTAAGGGGTGCCTGGTACTCCGGCCGCTTCCTGTTTCGCTCATTATATCAAAAACTGCAAAACACTAGAGGGCGCCCTTGAGAGAATCCCCAATGAATGAGAGTGAATAAAACTGAAAATGAAAACCTAAACTTGTTTCTGACCACTTCAGTGGGAACGTCCTTTTATAGAAAGTCAGAGGATGTAATTTATTATAGAAAATCAAGGAAAACCACTATTTTTCTGTTTTTCTGCAGCAAACAGGTTTTGGGCAGCAGGATGCTAACGTTACTGCTACTGAGTGCTGACTGGTTAGCATTACTGCTACTGAGTGCTGATTAGTTAGCATTACTGCTACTGAGTGCTGACTGGTTAGCATTACTGCTACTGAGTGCTGATTGGTTAGCATTACTGCTACTGAGTGCTGACTGGTTAGCATTACTGCTACTGAGTGCTGACTGGTTAGCATTACTGCTACTGAGTGCTGATTGGTTAACATTTCTATTACTGCATGTTGATTGGTTGGCGAGCTGATCAGTTCATTGACTGACCAAAGCAGTTAGTGCTCACCAATGTCTTGAATGCACATAACAGGAGTTCAGAAGCTCTCAGAAATTTTATAGCAGTGTTAAAATATTGTATGCTGTTCTGTGTTCAGAAATGTGGTGCATTTTTCTACATAAAATTGAATACACATTTATAATCTACAATTTTGCACAACAGCTCCATAGGAGCCCACTCATTTTGGACTGGAGCGCCCTCTAGTGTCAGGCAAATCCAGGAGACATTGTTGACTGACAATTCTCACTAAAAATTCTCAGTTCTCAACATTAGGAGAAACAGTGGACGGCATGTAAATGTTGCCATGGTGACAGCATCTGCTGAAGGTTTGTATTGATCTACAGAGAGCTTTTGAGTCTCTTTTGTGTTTTAAAGATGGAAACACAAGGATGGAATCACTCAGTGCCTTTACATATGACACCCCTATGTTTTGTAATATTTTCACTGGCATCAGAATTATTATCTAAAATTCTGCTGATTTCTTCTTGGCTGGTGTTATTTGGTGGCGCTATTGCTGCAGCATCATTTTTAGATGCCATTGTATGTTGTTTTAGGGATACGCTAGATGGCAATTTCATCGTTACAGTGAAAAATGATGTCACCATATGCTTTAAAGAGGATACAGTGATATTGTTGGTACTTAACTGACTATTTAATTACAAAGAGAGCAGAATTAGTCCTGTTTCATTGGATGTGGTGCAGCTGAGTTGGTGAAACGTTAAATGAAACTCATTTTGTTCATAGTTTGGTTTTGGTTATTTCCCATTCGTACTTCAGAAAAAACTTCAGAAAAATGAAATAGTTATGATACATATCATGTATTGAGAAAATGTCTCGAGGTCTCATGATAATATACTTTTTGCCATATCACCACACTTACGTTGTTTTGCTTGTGCATCAGTGGGGCATTCACAAGTTTTCTGTGCACAATCAGACAGAAATATGGTACCAACTTTGACTCAGTACTACCAATAAGGAAATCTAGTTACTAGTACTGTGTACTGGTTCTTCTGAGATCTCTAATAACCAAGCCAGCTTAACATATAAAAGCCAGAACTTTATCCAACGAACATCCACTATCCTAGAGAACTGGACAGAGTGACATCCTTCATGGAACACTGTAGATC